ACAGACAGACAGACAGACAGACAGAGAGAGAGAGAGAGAGAGAGAGGTATATGATATATATATTTATACACACATACATAAACGCACATAACAGAGATTGGTTCTGAAGAACAAGAGACATCAGGGGAGCAAGAAACATCGAAATGTCAAAGAATTTGAGATTATCTCCCGGTATCTGTTTTCTCCATGTTGCCGTCTCTGTCTTCAAACCGAATCTAACGTTTTTTGAAAATATGAATTGAATCAGTAAGAACGACCACAGCCAGAAAATCAATGAGAAATTCATGTTTCAGATTAGATGCATTAAACGGGTGGTTGGCGGGTGCTCTGTTGCGGTGTACTCCTTCTTTCCTATCAAACGTCTATCGTCCTGATCTTTCCTCCTTCCTTCTTGTGTTTGTCACTCTCTTGTAACATCTCTAATCTCCGGCAGTTATTTGACCTTTTTGTATCGCAAGTGCCGTAAACCCCTTTAAAAATGCCTTAACTCTTAAGAGGTTGGCCCGTCTACAAAATAGGAGCTGCGTGGGTGGCTGGCGGATGCTCTGGTGTGGTTTGGTTCTTCTTTCCTTTTAAACACCTATCGTCTTTATCTCTCCTCCTTTTCTTTTGTGTTTTCTACTCTCTTGTAACACCTCTAACCTTCGGCACTAGTATGAACTTATTGTGTTGAAAGTGCCGTAAAACACTTACTAAAACATCTTGTAACATCTCTAATCTTCGGCAGCTATTTGACCTTATTGTATCGCAAGTGCCGTAAAACATTTTAAAAAATGGCTTAACTCTTAAGAGGTGGCCCGTCTACAGACTGAGCTGCATTATTGTTTTGTCTTGTTTCCCTCATTGATCATAATATATCTCTATGCCCTGCTACAACTGTGCCTTCATATATCAAATCTTTCTTCTTTCCTAAAAAAAAAGATGGTGGATAAAACATGCTTGTAGCATGAAACCTTTCCTTTTTATGCTGAAAATGCTAACGTGTACACTAGAGGTGGGCAAAATCCGGATAATCCAAAAGGAAAACCGGATAATTCTCAATGAAACATTATCCGATTTCGAGCTCTTAACTCTCCTTTCCTGACCCATTTGTTGAAGTGATGATAACCCGTTTGTCAAAGTGGTTCTAACCCATTTGCAGAAGCGGTTCATATATTATTAGCCGAAGAGGTGCACTAAAATTTTATCCGGATTTTGCTGAAGCGACTCATTGCCCAGCTCTAGTGTACACTTCTCAAACTGAGCTTGTTGCTACAAAGAAGGGACGAGGCTTACAATTTGTGAGAGTTAACATGTGGGTGGTTGGTGGGCGCTGTGGGGTGTGGTTTGCTCCTTCTTGCCTATCAAATATCTATCTCTCCTCCTCCTCCTCCTCCTTTTCTTTGTGTTACTTTCTAGTAACACCTCTAATTCACCGCATTTTTATGACCCAGTTATATTGCAAGTACTGTAAAGCTCTTAC